TGGGGGCCCTTTTGGGGTGATGGGGGCCCTTTTGGGGTGCTGCTGTTGCTGGCCGAGGGTTTTGGGGTGCAGGAAGAAGGGGGAAGGGGCCCAAGGAGCTGCAGCCCCCCCAAAAACCAGCCCCCAAACACCCCACTGGGGAAGGGGGACGGATCTGGGGACACCCCCGAGTCTGGGGGGACCCTGGAGGGATGAAGATGGGGGGCCCGGGGGCCTGTGGGGTGCAGGGATGTGGGGATGAGGCCCCAGTATGGGACTGGGGACCCTCATGCAGGACAGGGACAGGGACCCCAATGCAGCACATGATGACCCCAAAAGGGGGGACAGGGCCCCCAATGCAGGACAGGGAGTGGTGACCCCAAAAAGGGAACAGGGACCCCAGTGCAGCACATGGGGACCCCAAAAGGGGGGACAGGGACCCCAATGTGGGTCACAAGGAGTGGTGACCCCAAAAGGGGAACAGGGACCCCAGTGCAGCACATGGTGACCCCAAAAGGGGGGGACAGAGACCCCAATGTGGGTCACAAGGAGTGGTGACTCCAAAAGGGGAACAGGGACCCCAGTGCAGCACAAGATGACCCCAAAAGGGGGGACAGGGACCCCAATGCGGGTCACAGGGAGTGGTGACCCCAAAAGTGGGGACAGGGACCCCAGTGCAGCACATGATGACCCCAAAAGGGGGGACAGGGACCCCAATGCAGGACAGGGAGTGGTGACCCCAAAAGGGGAACAGGGACCCCAGTGCAGCACACGGGGACCCCAAAAGGGGGGACAGGGACCCCAATGCGGGTCACAGGGAGTGGTGACCCCAAAAGTGGGGACAGGGACCCCAGTGCAGCACATGGGGACCCCAAAAGTGGGGACAGGGACCCCAGTGCAGCACATGGTGACTCCAAAAGGGGGGACAGAGACCCCAATGCGGGTCACAGGGAGTGGTGACCCCAAAAGGGGTACGGAGACCCCAGTGCAGCACATGGGGACCCCAAAAGGGGGGACAGGGACCCCAATGCGGGTCACAAGGAGTGGTGACCCCAAAAGGGGAACAGGGACCCCAGTGCAGCACATGGGGACCCCAATACAGGCCAGGGATGGTGACCCCAAGGTGGGGCTGGAGAGGTGACACGTGACAGCAACGGGGACCCCAGTGCAGGACACAGAAATGGGGTCCCCAAAGGAGGTCGGGGATGGGGACCCTCCTGCAGGTCAGGGGGACCCCAGAGCGGGTCGGGGGATGGAACCGTGGGATTGGGACCCCAAAATGGGGCTGGTGACCCCAATATGGATCTGGAGAGCTTAGGCAGGCCATGGTGACCCCAAAATGGAGATGGAGACCCCAGGGCAGGACAGGGGGACAGGGACAGGGCATGGAGACCCCAATATGGGACTGGGGACCCCAATACAGGCCAAGGGATCCCAATATGGGACTGGGGACCCCAATGCAGGACAGGGGCCCCAGAGAGAGCCCAATATGGACCTGGAGAGTTCATGCAGGACATGGTGACCCCAATGCAGGACTGGGGACCCTAAAATTGGACTGGAGACCCCAATGCAGGACTGGGGACCCTAAAGTTGGACTGGGGACCTCAATGCAGGACACAGCGACCCCAATGCAGGACTGGAGACCCTAAAGTTGGACCGGGGACCCCAATGCAGGACATGGTGACCCCAAGGCAGGACTGGAGACCCTAAAGCTGGACTGGGGACCCCAAGGCAGGACACGGCGACCCCAATGCAGGACTGGAGACCCTAAACCTGGACTGGGGACCCCAATGCAGGACATGGTGACCCCAATACAGCCCAGGTGACCCCAATGCAGGACGCGGTGACCCCAATACGGGACCGGGCACCCCAGTGCGGGACACGCTGACCCCAATGCAGGACTGGGGACCCCAATGCAGGACACGCTGACCCCAATGCAGGACTGGGGACCCCAACGCAGGACACGGTGACCCCAATGCAGGACCGGGGACCCCAACGCAGGACACGGTGACCCCAATGCAGCCCGGGGGCCGGGGGGTCCTCGTGCCGGTCCCAGCTCCCCCCTCGCGGGGTGCGGGGGGTGCCAGAGCCGGGTCGCCCCGTGCCCGGGGGTGGGGTGGGGAGGTCCGGCGCGGGGGTTTTCCCCCCCTCCAGCCCCAAAAGGATATGGCCATTCGGTGATCTTTTTGGCGTATTTCCTCACCACGTTGTCCTCGCTGAAGAGGAAGAGCGAGCGGTTGACGGTGAGGCAGTTCTGCCGCACCGGGATGGGGTTGTACAGGGCCATGGTGCGGGCGCGCTGGGCCATGGACTGTTTGTAGAGGCGCTGCGCCCCGGGGGGGCCCTGCCGAGGACCCCCTCCCGCGCCCCGGCCCCCCGCCGCCGCCCCGGGGCCGCTCCCGCCGCCGCCGGGCCCGTAACGGGCCGCCACCTCCTCTCCGAAACGAGCCATCCCGCCGCGGGGGGGGGGTCACGCTGCTGAGGCCGGCACCGCCGAGGAGCTCATCACATCCCATGGGCCCCCCCCTAAATCCTCGGAGGGGGGGGGCGGGGGTCGGGGTCCGTCCCGACCGGGCGCGGGGCGCTCAGAGCGGGGCCGGCATCCCGAGCATCCCTCGGTGCGGCGGCGCGGCCCCCCCCGCGAGCCGGTGCGGCGAGGGGGGGGACACCCCCGGGATTTAGGGGGGGGTCCGTGGGGCGCTGGGGTCCCTCTGCTCCGGCTCCCGGTGTCCCGGAGCGGGGGGGTCGCGGCTCTGCGGTTCCCGGTGCCCCGCTGTGGGGGGGGGTCCCTCCGCTGCGGTGCCCCGGAGGATGGAGGGGGGGGGTGTCCTTCTGCTGCGGTGCCCCCCCCCGCAAGCCGGTGCGGGGGGTTTCGAGGGGCACCCCCGGTGTAAAAGCGTCCCCGGCGCTGCGGCTCCCGGTGTGTGTGGGGGGGTCGGGTCCCGGTGCCCCCGGAGCGGGTTGCGGGGGTCCTGGCGCTGCGGTGCCCCGGTTTCGCGGGAGGGTCCCTCCGCTGCGGTTCGCGGTGCTCCGGAGAGGTGGGGGGGTGGTCCCGGTGCCTCGGGACTGGGAGGGTCCCCCCGCTGCGGCTCCCGGTGCCCCGCGGTGGGGAGGGGGGTCCCTCCGCTGCAGCTCGCGGTGCCCCCGGCGCGGGGTGCGGGGGTCCCGGCGCTGCGGCTCCCGGTGCCCCCCCGGGGGGGGTTGCGGTAATTTTGGGGCGGTGGGGGGGGGGAGGCAGAAAAAGCCGGGGCTCCCTCAGCGCATCCCGGCGCCCCCGGCCCGGAGCATCAGTGAGGAAGGGAGGGAGGTAAAAAAATCCACCCCAAATCCCCAAATGGTCCCAAAATCCAAAGGATCGATAGAAAAAAGGCGGCGGCGGACGGTGGGGGTGCGGACCCCCCCCTCGGGGCGGCGGGGCCGGGCGGGGGTCGCCGTCAGCCCCCCGGCAGCAGCGGGGTGACGGGGCCCATCGGGCCGGGCTGCGGCAGAGCTCGCGCTGCTGCTGCTCCTCCTCCTCCTCCTCCTCCCCCTCCTCTTCCCCCCCCAGTACCCGAGACCTTCCTCCTCCTCCTCCTCCTCCTCCTC